AATATTTTGGTCCAGCATCTGAACCTGGTCCCTTAGCAAGATTTTATGGCAATGACGACAAGCTGTGCGGCCTGGGGAGGCCCGTGTACCCAAGTTGCCATATGAATGAAGTTCATATGGATGGTGATAATGCGGATGATCGATGATGGTATCAATGTGTGTTGGCACGGGACCCGTGAAGGATGAGGAAATCGTAGATTAATGATGACCATCGATATACTCGGGAGACGTACAATAGATAAAGAGCCAGAAGCGAGTCCAGTGTCCAGCCTGTCTGAGCATTACATCAGGGCGTGAGGAAGTTGAAGTTGTAGCTGCAGGGGTATCACCAATAGCAGGTGTGGTAGACGAATTGGAAACAGGAGGCTGTGGTTGCAAAGATGGCTGGATCTGAGTCGAACCACTGGATTGTGTGGCGTTGTGCTTGGGAGGCCGTGAGCTGCCCAGAGTAGTGGGTAATGGTTTCTTTTTTTGTTTCACTCTTGCTGACGCATTCCTCTACATAATGTCAAGTCGAGTCAAATGTCTGAGAAGGAGAGACAACATACACGTTTTCCCTGTGCATACGGGACCTCAACAACTGCTGAATTGCGCTCATGCAATTCGATTCCTTCACCATTTCGTCTGCGTCGTTCCAAAAGGTGTCGAGCCCAGTCGACAGATGACGGTGAGGCATCACGTGCATCGGAGTGGCTGTGGTGGAATAAGCGGCGAAGGAGTGTACTTCCTTGCGGTGCTGAGGAGTGGGGGCGGCTTCGTGGAGAGAACTGAGCACACCAAGTCAGGAAAAACATCGAAACGATACTAATGACATACCTGAGAATGTTGTCGTGGGTCATCGAAAAAACCTTGGGGTACCCGATGGGCAGGCTGACGTCGTTGGGCCGGATGTCGTGTAGCATTTTCCTAGAGTATATATGTTTGAATGCAATGAAATCTGTTTATGAAGGTTTCACGTACACGGAGTGCCAACTTGTTAGCCTGGCTGCAGAGCGCGTTCAGTTGTGAGAATGAAATAAGATGAGGTATGTTGACATCACCTGTGGATCCAACAGAAGTTCGTCGAGACCAGCTTCTCTAACAATGGTAGCAATATCCCATGTGTACGCGTTGTTATCCGAGGAACCAGTCTAACCGGTTAGTAGTTTTCCATCCGCGGAAAATGAGACGCAGAAAACACCATCCGCAAGTTGGAGTGGAGAACTGATAGGCTGGCCGTTGTCGAGGTTCCACAATCGCGCTGTCTTGTCGATCGATGCGCTTGCGAGGATGTGGCCATTCGGGGATATTGTAATGTCAAGGACAAGAGAAGCGTGCCCATCGAGAACTGCGGTCTGCTTCCATGATTTTGCATTCCACCATGTCCGAATCGAGTAATCGAATGACCCGGAGATGAGCGTTTTACCATCCCCAGTCCAAGCCAGGCACTCCACCAAATCTGTGTGTCCTTTGAGAGTTGCGACAAGTTCGCCTGTCTTGGCATCCCAGATTTTAATTGAGAACTCGTTATTACCTTCAGTCCAGAGCCTATCACGTCCACCAGTCGCAATCATGGTCGTGTCTGGCGAAGAGATGACCGCGTACGCTGCGAAATTGATTGGCCAGGGTGCCTGGAGTATCTCTCCGCTCTCCACATCCCACTGCCTTACAGTCCCATCAACAGATCCGCTCACTACTCGCTGACCATCTCGACTCCAATAGAGAGACTTCACTACCCTTGTGTGTCCCGTTTTTGCGATGACCTTGCCTATGTCGATGTCCCACAACCTCACTCCACCGTCCCCACTCCCACTAACCACTTTCTTCCCATCCGGAGACAACGCTATACTGTGCACTCCACTGTCTCCGTCCCGCCAGTCTTCTCCTATCTGTTTCCCACTCTCCAAGTTCCATACCCGTAGCGAGCCATCATCTGAACAAGTAATTATCCGCTGTCCGTCAAGCAGGTGTATGACACCCCGGACAAAATGGGCGTGTCCTGCGAATTTCTGGTGAGGTGTTATTGCTGATATGTCTTTCGTTTTAGTGGTGGGTGAAGGCATGCTCCAAAATTCCTACTACCGAGTGCAGCACCATCTCAGCTTTCATCCAACATATTCCAAATCCATCACTTACTTACCGAGGATAACAACGACGGGCAGATAGTAGGGGACAATGGGTGTTCAGGTCAAGTCAAAGTGAAATCCACTGCTTCCTGGTACATTTGACATGCTGTATCCTCGTGTTCACATGCACAGCTTATATACAGCATAGGCTGTGCAGCTGAAGCGCCCAAGCCTCGTGAGGTTATATCCCATGACGTCTCGGTTCACGACTTATTGGTAAATAGGTCAACTACAGGTTCTACTTCAAGTTGTGTACTCGAATTTCTTTCCTTCTTCGTGCTCCAAGAGCTGAAACTCGGCAGTCCCATTGAACCAACCGCCTAGCTCAGATCCAAGACGCCGCTGTGTTTTAGCCGCACTTTCATGATCAATAAGACGCGGTGTCAGTCCACGAGTGGCGGCAGCCTGGTCTGCTATCATTTGAACCTTGCAGCACTTTTCCAAAGAGATGAAAAAGAAAACGGTAGATTCAATCGACTTGGCGGCAACAAGAGCCCCATGGTTCTACCAAAAGAACATGGTGAGCAGGTGAGAACGTTCAACTAAGCTCTCAAATATACCTGGAGGATAGCAGCCTAGAATACTGTGAGCGTCGACATATACAAATTGGTGCATTTACTAACCTTCTTGGAACCTAGAGCAGCTGCTATAGCCAGACCTTCCTCGCGGTCATCGACGATGCCATGAAATTCACTAAATAACACATGATCCTATGGACCCATTGACTGAGATATCTCTTTTCATTGAAGAATGATGAGCGCGAAATACCTCATAAAACGCACAGCTGTCCTGAGTAATGGGGTCAAGGGGCACTCCAAGGGAGCCGAACGCCTTGGCATACGTAGTGTGCGAATGCGCAGCACAGATCACATCCGGACGAGCTTCATGAATGGCTGAATGGATCAGGTATGCTGATCGGTTGAGGAGCCGATAGGGTCCGGACTCCTTTTCTTGTATATTTCCTTCGTGGTCCACGAGAAGGAGGAGCTCAGGCTGGATGAGCTTGAAGTGAACACCCTATATAGGCTGGTAAATATTACAGCTTTTATCTCGACAACATAATTGATTACCAAGGGGTTGACCCAGTAGCAATCTGGCCTGATTGGGTCCTTTCAACAAAGCAATTAGAATAATCACGCACATCGTGTTATCATTGTCATTATTCTCACCCGGACAGTAATATGTCCTGCAACGCCTTCGTCATAGCCGTACTTTGCTGCGTTGCACGATGACGACGAGCGCTTCCCGTCACGATAAGACAACGAGCTCACCAAAGATACGATACGCCTGAGCCAAGCGAAATTTCAGAAACGCTCGATGTTCCAATATATCAGAGAACGTCGGAGGAACCGGTCTATTGGGATCCTTGAATGCCTTAGGAATGTCGTCCCCCGATGGTGCGGTCATGGTGGTAACAGATTACAATTGCATATGATCGAATATGAAATAACAAGACTGGTTCTATACTTAACCGCGCCAACGACCAGCTGATAATGATCACAATAGACCCGGTGGTCCTGCTAATCCAGATGAAGCAGATGCTGACTTACAGCATAGTAACTCCGCTGCAGGCGTTAATCAAGCGCATGGGAGGCACTTGCACATGCCATGCCCGTGGTCTCCTAGATCCATTGCCGCCAAAGTTCAACTGTCTTGCGGTGCCAGAGAAGAATCCGATGTCGATCCAGCTGACGCATTAGGAGGTAGTGGTAGGGTGTACGGATGGGACAATTTAGTGAGTATGTTTTGTGATGTGTGCTATGCGTGCTGATGCGTTGTCGTTAGTGTGATTGATTTCTCGGGAGGGAGAAGCCTGGGACGGAGGAAGGGAGTGAGGACTCGGAGGAAAGCAGTGAGGAGGAAGATGGGTCTGTCACGATAGGATTTTCATTTTTGGGGCTTGAAGCCTTGGCGCTGTTCACGCAGCGGCCCGCATGAAAAGGACGCCTATCCTATTATGTATGATCATGATATAACTAGGATTGTAGTAAGTATTGTGCATACATGAACATGACAAGGTTTCTACGACCCTCATAATTAGTAGTAGCCAACTTTCGACCAACCGGTAATTTCCGGACGTTCACGTGACCCGTTCCAGAACGGATCTCCTTATATGGCGTCGCCGCGCGCCCGGCAACATGTTATGTTTTGATTCATATGTTTTTAATTTCTATACAACTAGCGTCTACTTTGTAACTCCTTGAGTTTGACTAATGTTTGGGTCAAGCAAGGTTTCTGTCGATGCAGGCGGCAATTCTCGAGTACATGAACACAGGACAGAAATAACATAGTGCTCGGCGCTTCCCGAGTTACATAACTTGAACAAAGGTTCGCCCAAGGCCAAGAGGTACCCGCTCGATATCTCGGTGTACGTGGTCTGTTGTATAAGCGCAATCGATGAGTTGTGCTGACTGCTTGTAGGTGCGCTATGTCGGATTATTGCTTTCTGCGTAAGTATGTTTTCAAGGCCAATATTGGCACTGGGCTAATCAGCCGTATCTTACGATTAGTATCAACATACTAAGTGTGTCTCTTCTATACTGCATTTGTTTCCTCTGACACGTGGTAGCTCTCCCGTCGATCTCGCTGGCAGATCTAGTGAGTGTTGTGCATCACTCCAGCCATTCCCACCCAATTAACTGACATAGGGGTGAGCACAACAAGCTTGTTGGTTCCACGTACTAACTGTAACAGCCGTGAGTCTATTTTAAGTATCAAGTCCCCAACGCTCATCAGTAGGCGGGGTTTTCAGGTTCTATACTCAATTTCACACTATGCTGGATGTTTGTTGTCGTCAGTACTATGCTGGGCGGTGAGCTACTCAGTTGGAGTACCTCGGTGACATTGACTTGACTCAAACATCATGCAGTCATTGTAATCGCTCGACTACATGCCATGTATCATCGATCCACAAAGATTCTCATCTTTCTCATTGTCAGCTTCCTGCCATTCACGGCTTTCAACATAGTGCTCGCCGTGTGGGAAAGCACTGAAATGTCATGGGGTAAGCTCTAATTACTTTAATCGCATCAGACTTATTGAACGAATACCAGAGGAGCTCGTCATCTCTGGCACCTATCAGTGCACTTCTACAGGATCCAACTCACTTATGCCGGCTGTGGGTTATATTCTTGGCGCTATATGGGAGTCCATCACGCTGTGTCTTGCAATCAGAATTTTTGTAATACACTTCCGTGAACTCCAACGCACATCGACGGGATGGACCTTCGAGAACTGTATCACGGTATTAATGAAAACTCACGTGTTTTACTTTGCAGGGTGAGCTCCTAATTCAGTTCAAGTGATTATATGCTTTTGCTGAAGTCCCACATGTGCTAGCTATGCTGCTGCTTCTTTCATTACAATTAGCTTCCTGTCTCCAACCACAGTGGTGCGCCAATTTGTGTCATTTGCATCTGATCACTCATCATTTCTATAGGAGTTGTCTCCCGTGGGAAGTGGGATTTATTATGGCGTTCTCACAATCATCGAAGTCATGCAAATGTTTGTGCTGGGACCACGCCTCATTCTTAGCATTCGGCAATATCACGCTGAGCTCGTGGCAGATTCTGGCGCAGGAACTGCCATGACTTCACTTGCTTTCCAGGAGCGTGTCCACATGGCAACTAGCAGTGGTGTGTAGCAAGGGAAACCCTCCAAGTGATTAACACTTATTTCTTCGGGGGAAAGGGGAGAGGAGGGAGAAACAGGGGAATGAATATGCGTATGCTTTTTGGAGTTTCGTCGTGGTATTTATGTGCACGTGGTGCTCCAAGGTGATTGGGATTCAAAGAGAAAAATAGAAGCTGGCTACTTCTACACTATGCTTGAAGCTGAAGCTTTTTACGGCAATGCGACTCTCAAACAACCACTGCAGGTTGTACTATACTGTGTGTTTGTTTGCGTAATCACTTACTACTACCTGAGGCAAGCCGTCATGCATACCGCTAATCTGACAGCAATCATAGTCAGCGGATATACTGCTTTTTTGTGTGATAGGGTATGCTCAGGTAGCTTGCCCCGTCCTGTCTTCGGTGGGCACTTTCGGTTGCCAATCAGCACGGTGCACTGGCCAAATGCGAGGACAATTGAAGTTCTCTCCTTCCAATTCAGGAGAGAAGAGCAATCTGGCGACCTCAAGTCATGACCACTTCGTACAAAGTGGCAGTCTGCAGAGTTCGAGAATGATATTCAATGGAGTTGACCTTCGAGTGACGAGTCGGGACTCAGTGACCGTTTCCTAGTTCTGAAACTCCTCGCCGAGCAGTCGGACTCGTCGGGCTGTTCTGTCCAAGCGATTGGCTCGACAAATTCGCATCAAGATCAAATATCACTCTTGATATGGTAGATTCTCTATAGCAAATTGAACCGGTGTCTCGCTGAGCCTCCGGCGGAAGACAAACAGACACTTGGTCACCATTCAATTTTACTAATCTTCGCCAATCGGATACGTACTGTCGCAGCTTCATCTGATTAGTAACTTGGATTATTGATATCCCGAAGCTCGGTAAGAACGTATTGCAGCGTTACCTTTGCAAAGCCCCTATATATGTGACCAATTTCCGTGGTCGAGAGCACGCCACTTGCATTCGGACTTGCGCCAGACTTTGAAACAACTCCATCCTTATCTTACAAACTGTCTCATAATAGCTTCAGAGTCACGCGCGCACGGAACATAGAGAGTATAAATGAAACGTAGGGACGGCTCGAATCCCAACGACAATACAACCTTCCTAAAAATCCAATCAACATGACTGGCGAAGTTCTCGTCCCCCACGATGTCCAGACTACCCTCAACTTCTACAAGCCTATAAACGACGAGCTGCCTTACAATTATGTCGAGGAGCCCCCTGTGGGAGTTCTCAGGACCAACATTGGCCAAGATGTCCAACAAGTTGTTGTCCATGATATCCGCGGCAAGGAAGACACTGTCGGACTCGATAAGACGGGCTTCCAGTTCGTTACTCACAAGAGCGTAGAAAAGGACTTTGTCGATGAAGAAGCGATCCAGACAAAATATTATGCGGAGGTGGAAGACATTTTGAAGAAGCATACGGGGGCGAAGAGGGTGGTTATATTTGATCATACCCTCAGGTGAGTGCTCGTGAATGATCGTTGAAAGCGCCTTGGCTTAAGTGCATGAAGGCGGAACCCAGTAGATGGCGTAATCCGAGCGAACGATGCTCGTGGCCCTGTGGTGAGTTATTATCCAGAGTGCTCCGAGGTATCCCACTCACCAAGAACCTTAGGAACGTGTCCACGTCGACCAAACCTACGCCGCTGCCATCGGTCGTGTCTATCGTCATCTCGGTGACGATGCTGAACGCTTGCTCAAAGGTCGTGTTCGCATAATCAATGTCTGGAGGTGAGTCAAACGCATCTCTCACCCCACGATTAAGTAACCCAATCCATCCATATAGGCCCATTGCCAACCCCGTCGCGCACAAACCACTCGCTGTCGCAAATTACCGTACGCTCGGTCGTGAGGACTTGGTCTCCACTAGGCATATCTATCCGAACAGCGAGGGCTCAACGTTCAGCGTGCGTTATAATCCAACGCAGCGCTGGTACTTCCTCGCGAACCAAACCCCTGATGAGGTTACGCTCATCAAGTGCTACGATTCGGACGAGGATAAGGCGCGCCTCACGCCTCATTCAGCGTTCCTTGACGTGACCAGCCCCAAGGACGCACCGAATAGGCAGTCCATTGAGGTTCGCGCGTTGGTATTTGAAAATGAATAGAGAATACGAGAATCGCCGACTCTAGTGTACATGTATTCATTCTGTCGTATTCATAGTATGAGCTGCATCGATTATCAATTTCACAAATGTTTATGCAGTGGATACGCACAATGTTCGATGGATGTTCCTGTGCTAAGGGTATTCGACGAAGGAATGTTCAAATTCAAACTTATCAAACATGAGCACAAAGAAATGAACGGCGTCTAAATTAATACGCGCCAGGTATGAATACAGCACGCAATACAACCTTAATTTCCCTTCTCTATCGACGACAACACAGATCAGGCAGGAGTGGCCTCTACCCTAACGCTCTCCAGTCCATTCGCATACTGGAATTGCCCCGAGTTTTCATACTACCAATCGTCAGAAATAGATCCTGAAAACTGTATAGGAATGAAGAAATAACGTACCTCCCACATATCAATAGCAACCTGACAGCTCTCTCGCACAACGCGCGGAGAATCCTCGCGCGTCATCCATTCTTTAAGATGGGGTAGCACCTCAGGCGTGGCAATTCCTCCGAGCGCCTCTGCAGCCTCGTGTCGCACCATGTCAGACTCAGATCCGTCCTGCAGGACATTAAGCAACGAGGGTACAGAGTGCGCGCTCAAGAGTTGGCCGAAAACGAAGGCAATTTCGTGTCTGCAGCGGATGGGTTCAGCGTCGTGACGAAGTCAAAACATGAAAAGAAGCGGACTTGCATAGTGCGCTGTCACCGGAGAATCCTGCTGCTAGTGCATCGACGGCCGCTGGCGTTCCGGTGTTGCGGAGTGCAAACATAGCCCGATAGCGCTGGAAAAGGGGAACGGAAGTATCCAAAAGCGTGGCTTGGAGAGAGGCGATTGCAGACTCTGACAAGTCATCTGGTTTTGGCCAGAGAGAAGTTTGGAGGAGGGAGGAGCGGGGTCAATGGATGTGTACGTCCTGCAAACATGATGTGAGTTTGTTAAATTGCGGGACCAAAAGTGGTTCGAGTAGTGGAATAGGCAGATTGAAATCTCGAAAAATGAAATGAAAGCTACATACGGGGTCTGATCTGACGATTCTTTCGACGCAAGATGTTGGCGTCCCTCTTCAGAATTATCTCATTCAATTTTAGCGAGCGCGATCTCGCATGTCTCTCGCACACTCCTGTTGGGATCTGTGAGGTACTTTGTGAGGACCGCCTTGAAATCAGGTGATGAGATTGCGCCCATTGCTTCTTCTGCCTGTCTCGAATGCTAGTTAGCATCATAATACACTGGAACGTACAAAAGCGGGACTATGCGAAGCGGGACGATGGAGACGCTTACCTCGTGTCGGACCATCGGATCCTCGTCTATATTCTCCAGCACTGATTGAAGAACTGGGAGAGCTGAGACGAGCTTCATCTGTCCTAAGCAGTATGCAAGCTCGTGCTTGAGCAGTGCTGAGGGAACGGCGAAGCCTGGTAGATGGGTAATGCGTCAGCGCACGTCATCTTGACAGAGAATCGCATAGATGAAAAGATATGATGGCTGATGTTAGGATCGAAAGAAAAGAATCATATGAACGGAAGAACGGGAGAACGGACGAAATTCACGTATCCTCAGAGATGATCTTGACTGCCTCATCATTCTTGAAACTTTTCAACGTAAAGAGCGCTCTGAAACGATCGTGCAAGGGCACCGTACCGCTCGTATTGAGCAGCACAGCGCGAAGGGCAGAGAGCTCGCTTGGAGAGACCGCGTCCAACGAGGAAGATTGAGATAGAAAGATAATTTGGTGTGGCGGACTTTTGATTTCATTTGCTAAACCTTGTCCTCCTACATATCATGCCCAAGTCAAAACGCGCAAAACTCGGTAAGTTTCGTACTCTTTGATGGATCATGATGAAGGTTGATGTTGTATTCTGTATGGATAGTCACGTGCCCTCGCAAAAGTATCGAAAAAGACGAGGGAGCCAACTTCGTTAACAAGTTCTCTCTATTTTTGTGCAGTGGGTCGTCCACACTCGTATGACATTTGACACATTCCCAGCATCATCCTCAAGAGGCGATGATCTTAGCGACCGTATTGGCCAGGATATTGGATATTGTTCCTTGACTGTGTGACGCGTTATAAAAATATTGTTTCTGCTGGCGATCTTTCACCGACACTTCCTGTATGGTTGTTGACACAGATACTTCGTCGGTCCCCTATGGGCATTGCTTTGTCTCGAGCGCATATTCACTTCCCTCTTTTCCTGATGGCACGGCTAATAATTGTTCGGACCGGGAAATTGCGCATACTGGGGAACAGGTTTGATTTATTCACCGTGCCAAATCAATGTAACTGACTTGCAAAGATCAATCATGTCTTGTTAGGTGCGCGCATATCTCCCATAGTATTGTTGTGTACGTTCTGACTTTGACACTAGAGCATATCCTGATGGAGGATCCAATGATCCGTGGGGCAATCATTTTTCATGCGTATCAACACCTAGGCGTTCTGGTGGACCCGCAGATGGACGATGTGATTGACGTTGGTGACAAAGAGAAACTCACAGCGTTCAAGCGTTACATTCAGTTCGTCAGCTTGAAGGTACACTCACCATCGCTAACAGCACGGACAGGCTCGCTCTTGATCCGACGAACATGTCTCCACCTCCACACGTTTGTATATACCCAGAGGTTCCTCAATTATTTCTTATGCCCATTCTCAGGATTTGACACTTTCTTAGATGGTCATCGTAGCATCAGTGCTAAAGCCATGGAAATACGTCGAGGATGGGACACCCGATAGACAATCCATTGTGGCTGAATATGCTCCCGAAATTGTGTCACTCAATGAGAGTGTCTCAACACCCATTACACCACCGGCTGTATTGACCCCTCGAAAGCCGTTTAAATTTGTGAGACGCCTTGTCAAGACTACTCTAATTAAGAGCGACATCGAAAACATCATAGAGTATGGCATTGATGGGTGTGTACCAACATTTTATCCAGTGCCTCGTGAATAATTTCAAGATTCAAAGCCTACCAGCGACAAAAGCTCGCCCGTTCTTATTGGAAACTTCCCGTACAACTAACAAAATCGATATTCACAAGTCTTCCGATAACATTGTTCACCGGCATCCTGTAGTCATCTCCCTTCGTAAACGTGCTAAGATGTACCTGAGCCGATGCCTCGTCGTGGTCAATATGGCGCGAACATATGTAACGAGTTCTTCTGCCCGTCAGCCGTCCCACGGTCCACTCCTCAGGGAAACTATTCTGCTCACGGATAGTACTTCCACACTTGGAGCGAGCCTTCTAGTGAAGTTGTTGGACTGCGAGACCACCGCAAGAGTATATGCTCTTGTAACGAAGGACACGAGTAGTGATTCATTCGCAGAAAGGCAGTCAAAGATACTCAAGAAAATTGGTTTTGGTGAGGATCTTATCCACCACAAAAAGCTGGTCTTAGTGGATGGCGACGCATGTGATGAGGATACTGCCATACCTCAGGAGCACTTTGCTGAGGTTGTTGCCTCCACCACACATCATACACGATCGTGAGTCAGGTTCTTTGCTGGTTACACGTTCGCATGATAACTCGGCAGCTTGGTCTCATTATGATCGGAGCACACCCCCATCATTATTCTTAAGTGAACGCCACAAATTACAAAAGTGGATTGATTTCGCGTTGAAAAGTCCCCTTCCACTTCCCCCGCGTTTCGTGGTCGTAAGCTCGCCGGCGTTGTTTGCGAGTTCGTAATGTGACTTTTTATCATCATAAGTTTTACTAATCTTCTTTCCAGATTCGCGGTGTCGCGTACCGTTGGAGAATTACCCAGCTGACTACTTCGACGCTGTTGGCTGGGTATTCATCGAGTCGATTTGGGTCGCCCAGCAGCGGTTGTCAGTCAACGCCAGTTTGCGACCGATCATGATTTCTTTTGACCAGCACCACAAAGCATTCAGGTACGGGCGAGGATGGTTATCTGCAATTGCAAGAACTTGTCTTTGTGTCGGAGCGGTTCCAGATGCTTCTCGGGTGAGTGGCCCTCCATGACCGGGTGATTTTATGAATTTCAACTCCATGCTTCACACTACCAGATGTTTTCATGGGTTCCGATGGGTTCTGCTGCAACGGCTCTCATAGAAATGTACAACTCACCTTCCCCATGTCCGATACTCCATATCGCGCCTCCGAATCCAACTTTGAGGGCTCGATCTTTTGCAGGACGCCTTGGCCTACCACTCATCCCTCTCGATGAATGGCTCTCTAGATTTGACGGTTTCGCTTCCAGAGATTCTGGTGACCAGCCTGTCTTATACCTTATAGAGATGCTTCGTAGGGAATCCGCGCATGGGTTTGTTTCTGTAGAGGAAATGCCAACGGTCGTTTCACGTTACCCGTGGATACCTATGCCATGTTGGTAGAGGATCAAAAAATTGGCAGGAATATCGCTGGGTGCTTCAGGACTCCATAATACATATTGGTAAATAGGTCAGCTACAGGTTCGACTCATGTGCAGGCGTATACTCGAATTTCTTTCCTTCTTCGTGCTCCAAGAGCTGAAACTCGGGAACCCCACTGAACCAACCACCTAGCTCAGATCCAAGAAGTTGCCGTGTTTTGACCGCACTTGCATGGTCAATAAGACGTGGTCTCTGTCCAAGAGCGGCGGCGGCCTGGTCTGCTATCATTTGAACCTTGCAGCACTTTTCCAAAGAGATGAAAAAGAAAATGGTAGATTCAATCGACTTGGTTGCAACAAGGCCCCCATGGTTCTAAGTGGAGCATGGTAAGCAGGTGAGAACACTCGACCGAACTCTCAAAGATACCTGGAGGATAGCAGCCTAGAATACTGTGAGCGTCGACACATACAAATCGGTGCATTTGCAAACCTTCTTTGAACCCAGAGCAGCTGCTATAGCCAGACCTTCCTCGCGATCCTCGACAATGCCACGAAATTCGCTATACAACGTATGATCCTGTAGATTCATTGACTGAGACATCTCGTTTCATTGAAGAATGATGAATCGAGATACCTCATAAAACGCACAGCTGTCCTGAGTAATGGGATCAAGGAGCTTCCCAAGGGAGCCGAAAGCCTTGGCATACGTAGTGTGCGAATGCGCAGCACAGATGACATCCGGACGAGCTTCGTGAATGGCTGAATGAATCATGTATGCCGATCGGTTGAGGAACCGAAAGGGTCCGGACTCCTTGTCCTGTATCTTTCCTTCATGGTCTACGAGAAGGAGAAGCTCAGGCTGTATGAGCTTGAAGTGAACACCCTATATCAACTAGTGAATATTATGATTTCTATCTTGACAACATAATCGATCACCCAGGGGTTGACCCAGTAGCAATCCGGCCTGATGGGGTCCTTTTCAACAAAGCAATTAGAATAATCGCGCACACCATATTATCAGTTGTCATCATTCTTACCCGGACAGTGATATGTCCTGCAACGCCTTCGTCATAGCCGTACTTTGCTGCGTTGCATGATGACGACGAGCGCTTCCCGTCACGACAACACAATAAGCTCACCGAAGATACGATACGCCTGAGCCAAGCGAAATTTCAGAAACGCTCGATGTTCAAGTGCATCAGAGAACGTTGGAGGAACCGGTACATTCTTTGGATGATCCTTCAATATCTTCGTAGAGATGTCGCTGGCGTACCCCGATGGTGCGGTCATAGTAGTAGTAACAAATTACAATGCCTTGCGATCGAATGTGGGGATGAAACAAGACTCGTTCTATACTTAACCATGCCGACGGTTTGGATGAAGCAGATGTGACTTACAGCACGGTAACTCCGCTGCGGGCATTAATCACGAGCCAGCTCATCGCGCTCACACACCGGCACTTGTATCTGTGCATCCCAAAATTCTATCCAATTCTGAACTTTGAATCCATTACATGAAAACACAAAATCGAAATAATCACAGAAAGGTAGAAAAGGTAAAAAGGCAAACACAAAAAAAACACATCAACAAAAAAAAATCTCAAAGAGCCATCGTAACGCCCAACAATGCCGGCCACAGAATAAACACCACGCGGAACTTGAGTTTCTCAATATCGATGCGGCCTCCGCTGTTCCTGCTATTGCCAGAGGGTTGATTGACGTTGCTGACGTCGCCTGGACGGAGGGGAGGCATCACGATGTTTCTTGCTGATGGCATTGGAGTTTCAGACCCAGACTCGGAAGACGAAGGCGCAGACGGCGATGCTGCAGAGGTCGCCTGAAAGAACAGATTCTCGCTAGTGCTAGAGCTCGTCACAGCTAAAGAACTCGCAGATGTCGGGAACGAACCGCCTTTGACCACGATCGTAAAGTCGGCGCTGTAGATGATCATGTCGTATGGAGTATTCGTGATGTATCGCAGAGTGCTATCGTGTCAAGGGAGGGGGGGTAATGAGCGTCCTCGCCGTCACATCTGGTTGGTTCAAGTGATACATACAAATTCGAGGTATCATGCACAAGGCTCCTGGGTATATCAAACTGCCAAGCCTTGGCACCAGGACTCACGTTCGTAGCGAGCGTCCCAAGGTACATCTGTACAAACCACACGATCCGTCATTGAAGTCCCTTTCTCTCAACGACAAAGGGGAGGGGGAAGAAACGAAACGAAAAACGCACGCTAGTATGTGCAACGCAGGCCGTCTCACATACAGGTTGTGGTTGAACGAAAAACCATTTCCCCAGACGCGTTGCGGCGATGGATGATTTCCTCAGCAAGTCAACGTCAGTAACGGGTATTGGAAAATTCTGGAGCTACAACAACAGTGCACTGGATGCCCTGGGACACCGTGACAAAAAAAAATCGAGAACAAGCATAGTCCCTGCGGCACATGCTGAGAATTAACACTGGTAGGACAAAGGAAGGCGAGAACTTCAATAGCGTCCAGCGAAGTTTAAACCCCGCTCGATGTTTGCATCGATAATTCGATATCGCCAATTCATGCAGCCCGGGCCCCGGACCATTATTTGAATGTGTGACATATTCCATCCATGCAAACACGCACACCTCGCTTTAAATTTTTGGTCTCGTCGGATCTGATGCTAACTGTGGGCTGTGACCATATCGATTAACCGCTTCAAAGTCTACTACGCTTATTCTCAACCAACCTCACTCGATCATTCACACCATCCCTGCAACGTCCATAACAATGAATTGTGACAACAAGTATCACATTCTTCCATGTACAATGGTCAATCAATATCCCGTTTCTCGCGCAAGTGGAAGCCTCGACCTATCAGGACCCGAGCAGGACTTTGTCCCATTCCGTCATAAGCCCTCAGCCCAGAACAGTGTACCGTTGTCTGTCTAGGCAAAGTGTTGCGACTGCTGCCCGGATGGCAGAAAGTGAGTTCTTGTCAATTCCTGTCTTCTCGCGTGACACACTGTCTGACAGCAGTGGGATGGGGCTGAGGCCTGAGGGCGGTGATATTCATGCCGTGCTTCGCAATATTCGAAAGCCTAGAATACTGTGCTGTTCTTGAGCTTCGCAGCCTCCTCGTGTTGGCTGCGTCAATCAATGGCGCACCTACAACACACCTCTGCTGTGCAAATCTAACGCTCATTCATGATTCTATAGGTAATTCAATGAGCTGCGAGCCGCTTCTGTCCCGTTGACCTCAGCTCTGCACATCGCAGCGCAGTGCGGATGCCGCGCGCATGCTATGGTCTCTTCCTTTATAATCCATCAGGCATTTGCGAGCACTGCAGTTTTCCGTGACCTCTAGTACACATCTTACTCTCAAGTGCTAGTTTGCATCCCTCAGCCATATGTCAAACTTCGTTCCTCATCCTCTTGATGATTGCCCTCCACCCTTGGAGGAGCCGAGTCACCCAGTACACCCCCAGGACTCCGAGACGAACCTCGCGATTGGTGAAATGCTACAATTCGCCGTCAATAGTATGCACCATCTTTTTTCATTCAGCACATACCAATGATTTCCCAAAGCCATTCTTGTAACACTTTATTTCGTCATTACTCTGCTGTTTCGTTTCGCCACGGACACCGTGCCAGACCCACTCGATGATACCCTCCCAGCCTTGGGTGAGGAGGCAAGCTACCCAGAACACCCCCAAGACCCGGGAGAGGCACACCTCAGTGGAGTGCAACAGATCGTCGTTACTGGTATGTGATATTAAACTCAGTGTCGCATGAATTGACGACATCTCCCAAGCCATTCGCGCGACTGATCTAACTCTTGGTCTCCAACGGATTCCCGCTGGCTTCCATGTGGTAGTAAAGACTCACGGTATCGAATTCCAAACAAGCAACAAGCCTGTGCACGTAGACCAGGCTGTTGTCGAATGGAACGAGCCCATACTTCTGTAAGTTGTCGTTGATCCCATCTTTCCTGCAGGTGTTGAGAAAAACTCTAGGCCATGTGAACCATCTTCTCTCGTTCGGGTCAGCGTGTATGCCTCATTTGAACTGGGTCCCATGCTTGGCCATGGAGAAGTCCTTCGCACATTCGAGATGTCCATGGGTGAATTATTGGATCGCAGTGAAAAGTTATGTCGTCAGTAACGTCTGTTGCAAATTACGCCTGATAGATGTTGACGAGTATCACAGCCAGAGTTTTTCAGCCCAAGCAGGCGGAACTCGTATCCCCGTGTACTTCACTGTTGGTGACAGTGGAGCGGCGGTGTTCTGATGACAATTGTGGTGTCCTTTCCCCCCTTACTACCGTTAGTGATCAATGCAGTCTGACATTCTGATGCTGAGAGCTTGTGATATGTAGGTTACGTCCGGCAATAGAAAGGCATTAATACTCAGGGCGGACACCGGACATCATCTTCTCGCACGATACCGCAGGCGGCAGAACAGTGTGGATCTCGACCAATCCATCAAGCACTTTGAACGCGCCTCGGATCTTTGCCCCGTAGATGATCCCTGCCGCCCTGCAACACTGTTCAATTTAGCTATTGCCAAGTTTTTGAGTTGCCAAGTTAATGGAACATCCCTCGACCTCGACATCCCCATCTCTCTTTTTCAAGAGGCCCTTGCTTTGCGTCCTACTGGTCATCCTGACCGACCCACAACCCAGCTCTATCTTGCCATTTCTCTGCTGTCTCGCTTTGCGAAACGGGGATTTCAAACAGATGCTGATGTGGCCGGAGAGTTAATGAGCGAAGTCCTCGAGGTTTGCCACGCCAACAGCCACATTTACAGAGCAGCTTTGCTTGCAATTGATACATTTGCTCTACATCGAGTTGGAGGCATGGATGGACACGATATTGGGCACATGCAACCCGCTGCATCCATGCTTCCGTTGTCGCCAAATCACCTTGTTGATCGTGCAGAGCGGTGCTTGCAGAGAGATGATCCCCACGACTTAGATGAAGTGATCTCCCTTCATTACGATGCACTGCGATACTACGACAGTATGGATGATCGCCGAGCGCAATTACTAAATAACCTTGCGAATGTGCTCTCCACCCGCTTCGAGCACCGAGGCAATGACCAAGACTTGTGTGACGCTGTCATGCTTCTCAGGGACGCGCTGGCTTTACATCCAGTCGGTCACCCAGATCGGTCCAAGTCATTAAATAACCTTGCGATTGTGCTCTCCACCCACTTCGAGCACCGAGGCAATGACCAAGACTTGGATGACGCTGTCATGCTTCACAGGGACGCGCTGGCTTTACATCCAGTCGGTCACCCAGATCGGTCCTCGTCATTAAATAACCTTGCAAATGTGCTCTCCACCCGCTTCGAGCACCGAGGCAATGACCAAGACTTGTGTGACGCTGTCATGCTTCTCAGGGACGCGCTGGCTTTACATCCAGTCGGTCACCCAGATCGGTCTTCGTTATTAAATAACCTTGCGGATGGGCTCTTCACCCGCTTCAAGCACCAAGGAAATGACCAAGACTTGGATGACGCTATCATGTTTCACAGAGATGCGCTAGCTTTACGCCCAGTCGGTCACTCAGATCGGTCCATGTCATTAAATAACCTTGCGAATGTGCTCTCCACCCGCTTCAAGCACCGAGGCAATGACCAAGACTTGGACGACGCTGTCATGCTTCACAGGGACGCGCTGGCTTTATATCCAGTCGGTCACCCAAATCGGTCCTCGTCATTAGGTAACCTTGCGATTGCGCTCAAAACCCGCTTCGAGCACCGACGCGATCGAGAAGACCTCCACGAGTCACAAGAAAATCTCTGCTGTGCATTGACTCTCTTGACGCAACACGACCGCCGTCTATTTATCGCCCATGGATCGCTAGCTAACGTCTATATGTTGTTCCATCAATCGGGACTTAACGGCACTGGTGAATACATTGACAGTTTGGCTGCTGCCATGCATCATCTCCAGGCAGCAGCGAATGTTGTCTCTGGAGGTTTGCTATCTCGCCTGCGAGCAAGTCTACGCTGGGTTAACAAGGCCCACGAACATTCACATGCTACTGAACTGGAGGCTTATGCGACTTCCATGCAGCTCCTCGACACTTACATGTCAGCGACAGCTTCAGTATCGTCTCGTCACGATGCCATGAAGAACTTTCCAAGTATGCTTGCCGTGGATGCTGCATCATGTGCGCTTCGTAGCGGTAATATGTGTCGTGCTGTCGAGTTGTTGGAACAAGGTAGGACTATCATTTGGACCCAGATGACACGACTTCGCACGCCTCTTGACGGCCTCCAAGATCTCGGTGATCATGCAGTGTCCCTGATGAAGAAATTCAGACACCTCAGCTCCCTCCTTGATGCACCTCCTGCCAATCATGCAGAGGGAACCCCAGGAGTCAATGTAGAAGCAGAAGCAAGCCGGTACCGACGTCTAGTGGAGGACTGGAATAGAGTTGTAGAAGATATTCGCAAGATCGAGGGCTTCTCTCGCTTCCTACTTCCCCCCTTGTTCTCCGATCTTCAAAATGCAGCTCGTGATGGGCCTATCATCGTGCTCGTTGCAAGCAATTCGTCTTGCAATGCCATTATTATTCCACACAACCAACCTCCGATCAACATTAAACTCTGCATCAATTTGGAGAAACTCCAACATTTGGTGGTCAAACTCCAACGGGCAAGTCAATCACAGGCCGCTCCCAAACCCACCCCCAAAGCCACTCCCAAGCCCTCTCCAAAACGGACCCAATCAGCGCTGATGAAAGCATTGATGGAGTTGTGGGACGACGTTGTCAGCCCGGTGGTAGACAATCTGGGCGGATTTGCACCACCAGGTTCCCGGATATGGTGGTGTCCGACGTCTTTCTTCAATTTTTTGCCATTTCACGCTGCTGGCGCGTACAGGCAAGGTGGACAGTTGCTTTCGAACCTCTATATCTCTTCATACACGCCATCACTTACCGCGCTGATCAGGGCTCGCAGAAGTCATGACAGATCCCTGTCAGTGCCCTTTGCTGCCATCGGTCAGAATCACCCAGCTGGTCATCCATTCATTTTGGAGTGTGTGGAGCCCGAACTAGAATTGGTGCGGAATCTTTTGCCCCCTCCTCCGACTGTTTCCTTCACCAAAATAACGAGCGCTGAGGCAATAAAATCGAGAGCATTGCGCGCGTTGCGAGACAATACTTGGCTTCATTTTTCGTGTCACGGCACACAGAACTATACAGAACCCTTCAAGTCGGCCTTTCTCATGCGCGACCAACCGCTTTCACTCCTCGATATCTCACAAATGGATCTGTCTCGGCATGAATTTGCCTTTCTTTCTGCCTGTGAAACCGCAGTCGGTGATGTCAATACGCCTGACGAAGTCATACACCTGGCGGCTAGCCTACAATTTGCTGGTGTGCAGAGTGTGATTGGGACATTATGGAGTGTCAACGACAGTACGGTGCAGCGCTTAGTCGAGGCATTCTACAAGAACTTGTGCGGAGATGGAAAAATGAATTCCAAGCGGGCTGCCCGAGCGCTGCACCGAGCGGTCCAGTCGTTGGCCGGTGACGAGGAGATGCCCTTGGACCAGCGCATAGTGTTCATGCATATTGGCATATGATCAATTTCGTACGTCCCCACACAATAAGCTCACCGAAGATACGCCTGAGCCAAGCGACATTTCAGAAACGCTCGATGTTCCAATATATCAGAGAACGTTGGAGGAACCGGTACATTCTTTGGATGATCCTTCAATATCTTCGTAGAAATGTCGCTGGCGTCCCCTGATGGTGCGGTCATAGTAGTAGTAACAAATTACAATGCCTTGCGATCGAATGTGGGATGAAACAAGACTCGTTCTATACTTGTCCATGCCGACGGTTTAGATGAAGCAGATGTGAAGTACAGCACGGTAACTCCGCTGCGGGCATTAATCACAAGCCAGCTCATCGCGCTCACACACCGGCACTTGTGTGCATCCCAAATTCCATCCGTTGAATCCATTACATGAAAACACAAAATCGAAATAAAAGACAAAATAAAGATAAAGGTAAAAAAAAGTAAACAAAAAAAAAACACATCAACAAAAAAAATCTCAAAGAGCCATCGTAACCCCCAACAAGGCCGGCCACAGAATAAACACCACGCGGAACTTGAGTTTCTCAATATCGATGCGGCCTCCGCTGTTCCTGCTATTGCCAGCGGGTTGGTTGATGTTGCCGACGTCGCCTGGACGGAGGGGAGGCATCACGATGTTTGTTGCTGATGGCGTTGGAGTTTCAGACCCAGAAGACGAAGGCGCAGACGGCGATGATGCAGAGGTCGCCTGAAAGAACAGATTCTGGCTAGTGCTAGTGCTAGAGCTCGTCACACCCAAAGAAGAACTCGCAGATGTAGATGTCGGGAGCGAATCGCCTTGGATCACGATCGTAAAGTCGGCGCTGTAGATGATCATGTCGTATGGCGTATTCGTGATGTAACGCAGAGTGCTATTCGTAAAAGGGGAGGGAGGGGGAGTAATGAAATATGAGCGTCCTCGCCGTCACATCTGGTTGGTTCAAATGACACATACAAATTTGAAGAATCATGCACAAGACTCCTGGGTATATCAAACTGCCAAGCCTTGGCGCCAGGACTCACGTTCGTAGCGAGCGTCCCGAGGTACATCTGTGCAAACCACACGATCCGTCATTAAAGTCCCTTTCTCTCAACAGGGGGAGGGGGAGGGGAAGAAACAGAAATGGGGATAGGGATGAAACGAGAAACGCACGTCAGAATCATACCACAGCTGTATAGTAATACCCCCCATATTGCTAAGCAGCGGATAAGTCCCATCATCTATCCACCTCGTCAGAACAGTCTGTCCGGCGTAGTACACGGTGTTTTGGATAGGCTGGACGGGGTACAAGGACGCAGAGACCAGCGTGAGGAGGGCGAGTATAAGTGTCGCGAAAAGCATGCCGTGGAACATCATGAAGATCGCTGGACTTTCGAGTGGATGATGGACGATCCAAGAAGCACGCCAAATCTGAATCCCCTGAGGTATCGATATTAAATGACAGACCCGCTGATCACTTCAAAAAAACTGGCGGCGAAAGAATGAGGTGAGGTGTCTCGAAGAGATGCCAATGAACACAACAAGGAAATAACTTGAAATGAAATCAACCAGCGAACGCGTCGCGTCACATCACGTGTTTTGATTTTTCTCGACCATACCATGATTACGCATTGTATACGATTTTTGATGTATTTGAAAAAAAGAGGAGTAGGACATAAAACACAATCCGGGGGGGAATAACTATGCTTGTACATGTATCTCTATGGGAAAAAAAACACGTCGCAGTATCCAGAAAGTGTACGAGAAACGAACGAGGGGGCGCGCGCGATGGGAAAATGGTTCTGACTGAGAGCGAGATAAATGTTTGACTGGGAGCGCGATAGATGGTTCTGGGGGCGCGATAAATGTTTCTGACTGGGAGCGCAGTAAATGTTTCTGACCGGGAGCGCGATAAAAAGGTTCTGAATAGCTGCGCGACGCGAAAGGTTCCGACCAAATGCAGACGAAAAAGAAAAAAAAAGTGTTCAAACGAGAACAGTCAAGGCACAGCCATTATTAAAAAATGCATAAGAGGGAAAGCGAGAGTGAGAGTTTGAAAAAACCACAACCACAACCAAAATCACATCACACGTTCTTTTTCACGAACGGCACGAATCCAAATCTCACCAGGGCGACTAAAAATCACAAAAAAAATCAGCTCATCCCCCCACCAAAAAAAGCAAAAAGCAAAACCCACCTCTTCTCCCTAAGAACCCTATAAACCCTCCTACTCCCCTTCTCCTTCTCACTCCTCATCTTCGACGTAACATTATCCGCGCGGGGAGGGAACGCACCAGGCCCACACCTCGCCTGGAAATCTGCAAGGCCCTCGTTCGTGCCTTCGGCTTCGACTACCACAGTCCCGTACCAGCCAGGATCGATGAAGAAGCCAGCAACGTTGGGGATTGGGAGTCGCAGGTTTTGAGAGTGCGAGTAGGCGTGTGGGTGGTGGGGGGAGACGGGGGGTCGGATCGTGAATGAGGAGCGGTGGAGCCAGTGGACGACGCTGTGGAGTGCTCCGTGAGGTCTATTCGAGAATCGAATCAGTCAGCATGTGATGGTGTGAAAAAGGCCGATAAAATGCACTCACGTCGCTGTCGTAGCTCTATCCTGCAACAACTGCAAGTTAGCAGCAAGCTCCTGGCCCCAAGGACTAACATCTATATAAACAATAGGATTGCCACCAGGGTTCAAGACAGTACTGACACCCGTACGGATGACGCGGTGGAAATATGATGGAGAGAACGCTAGACTGTGGAAATAAGGCGATAGCTCGCCCATTCGCGAGTACTTGTGATCAAGGTCCTGAAACACACCATGAGCCAAACGTAGAAAGCCTGCCATGACACAAAGGCACTCACCACAAGGTAACTCCCATCCCAAACCATCCTCCCCAAATTCCCCTCATCACCCACAGCAACATCCCACACCACATCCCCAACCCTCAAAAGCTTCAAAACACCAGCCCGCTTCAGCTCAGCCTCGCACTCAACAACACTCGAGTCAGATAACCACTCCCCTTCAGGAGAAGGAACAAACACCCGCAAGAGCGGCGCACGGTGAAGCCGGACCAGAGGTGACTGGAACGTCTGATTTGACGCAGACACCGAAGACTTGCCGTGAGAATATAACGATGTCGGCGATGGTGTGCGACTCGAGGAAGACCGCCGCACTGCTTGTCCGTCGCGCGTAGCAGGCCTCGACGCCTGCCCATCGCGCGTAGCAGGCCTCGACTGCACCGGACTAACATGCGACCTCGCAACAGCCCTCGCCTCACTCTCAGCCTGCGCCCTCAAGCGCATCACAACCCGCGTATAAGCGCGCGTAGTCATCGCGAGCGACAGAATATCCGGGACCTTCACTTGGGGGTGCTTTTCCCCTGGGTTTAGGATACGGGGCTGGAGATAGGCTTCTGCTAGTTGTGCGTATTGGTGGGTGGGCATCGAGACGCCTCGCATGTAATCGTTTAGGTCCTTTGGTTTGCGTTAGCATGTCACATCGAAGGAAGGAAAAGGGACTGACCTTCAAAGACAAAGCAAGCGGCTCCGCCCACTCAAACCTCCACCTCGCATACCCAACAGTCGTCAGGAAATGCTCCAACACAAACTCCCTCAGCACCCTACTCTCAAACACCGCGCGAACCTCCTTATTCGCGGCATAGAGCGAACACCAATCCGAAAACGTCAGATACGCCAGGAAATGCGGCAGGAGAGACGCGTCGGCAAGATGCCTCACGATCGGGTAAAACGTCGGAGGCCTACGAGCGATCTCTTCTTCCACGCGTCGTTTTTCCTCCTCTTCCTCCTTCAATCTCTTGTCTTCCTCCTCCTGCAATCTGCGTTCCTCCTCCTCCTTCTGAAGCCTCTCCTCTTCCTTCCGTCGCGCTTCATCCTCTCGTTGACGTTTCTCCTCCTCCTTCCGCAACCGCACTTCTTCCTCCTCTTGAAGAAGCTCAGCTTCCTTGCTCATCACTTCCTGCTGAGCAGTCGCATCAGCGGCAACAGGAGGACGCGTCTTCTCGAGCCACTGTCCTCGGCGCTGTGTCCGCGCAGATTTATAGTCCTCGGGCGATTCAGGAGTCAAGGGCGACTTTGGTCGCGTGACAGGAGACTTGGGTCGTGCCAACGGCGACTTGGGTCGCGTCACAGGAGACTTGGGTCGCGTGGGAGACTTGGGTCGCGCCAAAGGAGACTTTGGCCTCGGCGGCGTCTCACCACTCTCCTCATGCATCTTAACAACCTGCACCCCATCCACCTTCGCAAACGGGTCCGCATCCAAAAACAGCGTATCCTCCGAAAAAAGCCCCTCCATAGAAATCTTCTTCAATATCAACGCAGGCGGTCCAGAAGGAGTAGGAGGACGCGTTTTAGTTAATACCCGGGGCTTGAGGCTTTCTTTGCTCGTCGCTCTGCTGAGCTTGCGGAGAGGCATGCGAGTGGCGTCTGATGAGACGCGGGTGGTGTCTGATGGACGCACTACTCCCATATCAGAGATGCGTCCTGGTCCAATGTCGGACGAACGCCCAATTTCGGACCGTACTGGCCCAGGTTCACGTCCGGTCTCTACTGAAACGCGCCCCTGTGCAGAAGTCGAAGCCAACGGTCCACGCTCCGAACTCGCGATCAACGGTGCACGCTCCGAAGCCGCCATCAAAGGCACGCGTTCTGAACCCGATATCAAAGGCACGCCCGCGGCCAACGGGACACGTTCCGAACTCACACCCGAGGAAGGTACGCCCACAATTAAAGGCACGCGAGACGACAATGAAGGCACGTTAACGCCGGGGCCCAGACCAGAACTTGTTGTTGCGGGAGGAGACGGGTAACCAAGGGTCACGACGTGATTGCGACCGACCGTCTCGGCGTGATTACGAGCTGGCGTCTCAGCGTGACTACGACCAGGCGTCTCAGCGTGATTACGACCAGGCTCAGCGTGATTACGAGCTAGTGTATCATGATGTCGCGCTGGTGCGGACGTGGCATTCACAGAGTTGTCATGTTGATTGATGGGTGCTTGTTTATTGATGGGTGCGCTGTGTGATGTGAGCTGGTTTGATGATGTGAGCTGGTTCGTGGGTGGATTTTGTTTGGCTGGTGGGCTGTGGACAGACGCCATGGCTGCGAAAATAAGCGGTCCTTTGCGGATGGGGGCAGCGCTGAGCTCTATCGACGTCGAGCGGTTGAGGTGGGCGGTGTCCGGTGCTCGTGTGTTCTGGCGAGGGGGTACCGCGTGGGCGGTGGACGGTGCTGCGGGTGAACGAACGGTGATAGAAGACGAGCGAGTGGTGGTAGAGGATGGTGCGACCGTTGAGCGGTTAGCCCTAGTCATAACAGTCGTAGCGGAATGCGTTAGATTTCGTTGCGGAATTTGTTCACCAGGGGGCGGGACAGCAGCAGACAGAGGGCGAGTCTGAGTCCTTACGGGAGGATGCGAAGTAGGTTTTGCACCCTGTAAACAAGTTTAGTCATTTCTAGCGGCAAAAAAGTATAATTTTCACGCACGGAGCTATTGGATCTAGAAGGAACACTAGAAGAAATGTTAAGCGGGTTAACAGTAATAGGACGCGCCGCCAATCTCTGGGCCGAAGAAGATGATCGACCTTTCAAGTCAGGAGTGACGTCAATTTGCTAAACAAGTAAAAACGTGTTAACGGCATCCGAAGAACGGAGATTTGAAGGGCGTAAGCCGGGAGCAATAAAAGGGATTAGAGTGTATTTGCACTTTGGAACGTGCAGTACGGATGACAACGTACAAGGGTCACTTGTGACGCGTCTCTGACGTGTAGGTCCCCAGAACGTGTATGGATACGGATAAAAATGCGATATTTACCTTGATAGCCGGGGCTATTGAGCTGGTGGACGTAAATGCACTTGTGGACGACCCGTCATGTGTGAAACGAGTTGCATCAGTGTGATTGCTGCTGCTACTTGAGCTTGAACCGGGTTTTTGTTGAGTGAAGCGAGTAGACTGCAAATCTTTAGAAGCCTGCGGGGGATGACGTTTTGGATATGAACGGACCTGATTGTCTTGTGAAGAAGAAGGGGGGTGAGAAGGTTTTTGTTTTGTGACAGGGGAGGGAGTCATAGGGGAGATAATAACTGAATTACGGGTGGGAGAGTGCTGGTCGTTACGATCCTGTCGTGTGGAAGCAGCATGGATGGGGCGTGTAGTAGAAAAAGTCGCGTCGGGGTCTATTAACAGGCATGAAAACACGATGATACGGTTAGAGAAGGGTACGTACCAGCGAGTTTTACTTGAGGAGGTAGACCTGGACCTGTGTACTTGCGACGAGTGGGTGGAAGTGGCTGTACGCGAGGTGGTTCGCGTGGAGGGGGAGGAGGTTGCGGTGGGGGTGGTGCATCTTGTTCTATGAGCACTTTCCAAGGATCCCATTCATCCTCGACTGGTTGTTTCTCGATAGTGATGGGAAGTGTCATATAAGAGTCCAATAGAGAAGACTCTGGTTCTGCAAGAGTTGTTGTGGCGAAGCGTGCAAAGAGGGGAGGGAGTGAGGGAGGTGGATCGAGTGCAACGGGTTTTGACGGAGCCGGATGTTCTACACCATGATTCTTCTTGTTTGTTGCAAACTTGCGCAGGAAACCGGCCATTGCGAGTTATTGGGTGATGGGAGTACCAGTACAAGAAAACCCAGAAAACGAGTGTCAATATAATTATTAAAGGAAGGTTTAAACGTGCCGATTAGAGCATCATGGACGGGAGCAAGGATCTCTGTACCTCGGTCACAAAAACGTTATGTCACTAAACTAGTCACATTCTATTCCAAAAACGTATTTTATTATTTTTATACAATACTCAAACCTTATTCAATAATTCTCTTCCACTTTAAATCCAAATGGAAATTAGCTTGCCTGCCGCCCTCTCATCACACCGGTTCCATCTTTAGTATCTCACTTCCATCCGGGAAGAACTAAGGCGGATACTCATATGTTGTCACACCCGTCACACTTTCATCTCGGAACATTATATCCAGTACCTCAACCAAGCCCACTCGTCCATCATCCGGAACAACCTGCAGCCAGCCGTTCCTGTCCCTCCAACACCCGCCATCACACTTAGGTCACCATTTGATCGGAACTGCCAGGGGGACATCCAGTCCATGCTGCGACACCCATTCGCGGGGTATAATATTCATTCATCATCGCGCTCCACGAATTGCGCTCAATTACGCTATCCCACCTAGACAATCTCATCACGTACTATCGTCAAGACGTTCTTCTCCTTACACATCCGAAGTCTCATCTCGAGAGAGATCATGTGATCATCCCCCAGATCAATAACCGTTAGTATTATCATCGAGTTCTAACCGAACAACATCAGGTTCGGTAATGGGCTCAATTCAACGTAGCTCTGGATTCTGGACCACCGGTACATCCTTCTCCGCTCATCATCACTCTCTTCTAGTCTGCTCTACTCTATTGGTGCTCGGGCGAAGATCAGGCGGGAGTACCTGAAGCTGGTCACGTTTGGCTCCACCATATCTACCCATATGCAAATGGTTATGCGTTAACATTTATCCTTATAGCCTTTCAGATCCACTCCAGTTGCCGTGCTGTACGCCAGGTTCAGGAATTCATTAGCTTCATCAGTACTAGTGCTATAGTACTAGTACTGTGTCGATATGCGCACGGAATCTAATAGCGATACTAATCGAACTCGACTATCCATAACAGATCGATTCATCATCATCGTCATCCATTTCTCCTATTGAATATGCTGACCACACTTCGATACAAACACAAAGTTCTCGTTCCGCGTGTTCCCAAGAACCGACCCTGTGTCGTCACACACTCATCACTCGCCGAAACACTCACAACACAAGCACCGCCCTGTACCGGGAGCATCCTTCTCCGCCCACATCCATTGCAATTGACCCTTCTATTGGTCCCTACGAAGGTCAGGCCTAGGTCCCCCTGCTCTGTACCTGGTCGGGTATAGATGCTTCATGTCTATGCGTTGGCGTTTAGCCTTTCAGATCGACTGCGGTTGCCGTCCTGTGCGCTACGTTGAGCAATTCATTAGCTTCGCTCGTACTATAACATTTACTGTGTCGATAGCCCGCCTTCGCGCACCGAATCTAATAGAACTTGAGTTTGATGCGCTCGATATCTAATAGTGTTGGTAATCGCAGGAGTATCGATAGCAGAGGGATCATCCGAGTCGATCGTTGTTCAATTGTTCATTTCGCTGCTGACTTTACACTTCGATATTAACACAAGGTTCCATAGACCACGCTGTCTTGTCCTCCTCAGGCTCGTCCCGCATCCCGCATGTTCCCAAGACACACCCATGTGAGTCGTCATCACACACTCACCACCCCTCGCCGAAACACAAGCATAGTCAGCTGAACAACCCACCCCGGATCCGTAAGCGCTATGTTAAGCTTCGGACGAAAATCAAGCTGTGTACCTCGTCAAGTTTAGATGCATTATACCCCAGT